GTTCCTAATGCTACACATGCAGGCAAAGCCTCGAGAGGCACCGAGCCAGAATGTTGTTTTTCTGTAAATGATCTAATCATCATTGATTTTGGTATTGATGATATCCTCTATATGGAAAATTATTGATCCTACTATGCTTTAGTTTTAATTACTACTCCCTCCGTTCCAAATTATAAGTCGCTTTGACTTTTTTGGCTCATCCATTTTGCTATGTATCTAGACATATTATTATATCTAGATGCATAGCAAAATGGATGTACTAAAAAAGTCAAAGCGGCTTATAATTTGGAACGGAGGGAGTATGAACTATAAGATTAACTGAACTTAACACTGCACTCTTATCTCATAATAAGTCATATACTCCTGTCAGGAATGGTTGTTTCCAAATAAACAACTAAGACTGGACAACAGTTGCAGTAGCATACATATCATTTATCGTATCGAATAAATATGCATTTTCAACAAACTTGAGGATTTTGATTATCGCTGAACATACCTAGTAACATAACATGCATCCTTCCCTTGACGTGTTTCCAGGCGTTGAAGCTTCTGTGGTCGTCTCCAACCCGAAGGGAGCCCCGGATCTTCAGCGTGCTCTCTCTCTTCTGTCAAACAGTTCGGCTGGTGCTGGTACCAACCAGCAGCCAACGGCTCAGCTGCACCACCACCACACTGGCCTGAGCACCCTCGCCGCCAGCTCCAGCTCTGTGATGCAAGCTTCATCACCAGGGCTCTGGCAAGATGGCGGCGCGGCCCTGGGCCATCATGCTCATGCACGGTTTCAGGCTCTCGATGCCCTGGGCAGCAGTGGCGCCGCCATTGCAACGGCTCAGGAGCTGCTCCAGCTCCCGAGGCCACCGTCCTCGGACGACAGCTCCTCGTCCCACTACGACCTGATGCGCTGATGCTTTCTTCCGTCAGGCAGAGCGCGCGGTTTGCGCGGGATCGGACTCGGCTTCGGTGTCTCTGGAACTCGGAGTTTTGAATGTGTATGTTTGCTCTGAACGAACAGAATAAAAGGCCTGCAAACCTAGGCTCGGATCGATCTGGATCCGAGCCTTGTCGCCATGGAAACTCCGTGTGCTTGAATAATCCACAGTTTTGTGACGCTAGCTATTTATTTGTGTAATGTAACTTGATTGCTTCAGAGGAGTGATGGTGGACGCTTTTGTTCGGATCCTGTCTCAAATTCTCGATGCGTTGGATGGAACACTATTGCATCTGATGAATGATGAATGATGAATGATGAATGATGATTGATGATCTTAAGTTCTTAACCGCTGTTGTTTGCGCAACGAGGGCGTTAACTGCTGGCTGGAGAACAAATGGACGACGCCGCGGCGGCGGCGCTGGACCCGGGCGGCCACGGCTCTCCCTGCCCCGCCTCGCTCGTTGCCCGCGGGCCGGCACCGGCCTTCCTCCCATCTCCGGCTGCGGTCGTGCTTGGAGCTTTCCTTCCCGCAACTGGCAACTGCGATGCATCAGGCCTAGCTATCAGCGTCGAGGAACCCCGGCGCCGACCTCTCGCCGGCCGCCCACCCAGACTCCTATTCCTCCGCGGCGGCCGCCAAACGAAGGACCCCTCGCTCTAATTTTGGATTATTCCTGTGCGGTTCGGATCGACAACTGTCGCAGGAAGTTTTGCAAACTGCAACCTACTCCGTACCAGAGAAGTTTCTAATGCCCTTGGGATTCTGCAAACTGGATTAAAAAAATCCGCGTTCTTTCAAAACGGGATGGATAAATGGGAGAGATAATAAAAATCCCACAACTAGATTTTTTAGAATCCCGGTTCGTTTCGCTGAAATTTGACCGATGATGATTTGTTGTGAGAGAAAAATACTATTCATTCATTAAAAAGCACTGCTGGGCGTATTATCTGCAACCAGATAATAGAGGATACTAGTTTGATAAAAGACTTTCTTACCCCTATAGTACAGTAGGTACAACCAGAATTATTTTATTTATTTAATTGATTGCAACATTGAGGGCATACTCCCTCCGTCGCTGCCCAATGCCCACCACCCCGCCGCGCGCGATAGGGCCATGGCCAAGGAGCTCGCTTTAGACCCTACCAGGCTCACAGCGGCCTCCTTCTTCCCTCCTCCCTCCCGCCGCCGCCATAGCCATGGGCACCTTCGCCCCCCCCCCCCCTTGCCCGGCCGCCTCCAACGTCGCAAGAACCCTAACGTCACCCTCCCGTTGTCCCCATCGCTTGGCCAGCTTGCCTCCCCCGAGCCCCTTCTAAGGTCGCCGGATTTGGAGAAGACCACGTGGTGTCCTTGGGTTGGGTAGAAAAATTCAAGTGAGGGAAAGGCTCAAATCACACGAGTGAGCTTTAGCTTTTACCTTCTAAAAGCACGTCCCAAATTGTTGGAAGGAGATTAATCGCGACGGGCAGCAATCTTGCCCACACAAGAGTAAATATACACAAACGAACGGTTTCTGAACTTGCCTCATGGTGTCAAAAGGCCTGGGTTGCAAGTCAAAATCAAGGCTCGTGAAAGTTAGGGCAAAAAATATAGTAATACAATTAGTTGAGTGTCATGACATAGTAGTGACCATTTTTCCTCATATTAGAGTGAAGAAGTTTTTTTAGTGGTTTTCCCATGATTTGGGCCATAAAAATTGGTGTGCCAATTTTTTGAACCAATCAATAGCCAAATTTTATTTGTTTGCCTTAATTTTGGTTAGGCAAGTTTTGCAACCCAACCAAGTAGGCCTTTAAACACTCAAAACACATTTTTCACGTCACCAAACTTGCTAAAGGATCATTTAGACAACAAAACTCTTAAAGTATCGTTTTTGGCTTCCCCACACTTATCATGGAGTGTCATGCGGTCCGAACAAGCTCTGACCTACTCCACACCTCGGCACCGCATACCATACATGCCAATATACCATGCTAGATCCCCATGGCTTGACTCTTGACCAGTGGGTCCCACGTGAGGGTTGTGCTCATATGTCATTCTTTGGACTCTCATTTCCTCTCCTCCAGCTCATAGGAGGTCGATGATACAGATGTCCCTATGAGCTGTCATAGGGACTTGCGAAGGCAAAGCACGCACGTGTGGCGATACGACAAAGCTTGTGGCAAAAGAGTAATACACAGGTGGAAGATGCTTGGCTGCAAGGCCTGTCTGGCCATATCCACATCTTATTATTGGCGGTTGTCAATTTTAAAAAACAAAAGCTCAAAAAAATGTACAGTAGCTGGCTCGTTATCCACCCCTGTTGTCCGCTTTCCACTTCCTCCCATGGAGTGTCATGTTAGTATTTCGTCACCGCCAAGTAGCAAAGCAATATATTTACGAGGCTATGTGCGTGGTCCTAAACTAGATGGTAGCACAAGACACAAGGATTTTATACGGATTTAGGCCCATAAGAGGAGGTGATATGATGTTCTATCCTGCTTTAGTGATTGCATCGCTTGTGCTTAGATGATACGGGGTATGGTAAGTGATGCTGAACCCATGTTTTATACCTATCATATATGAGGTGCCTTTCTTGTTCTTGATACGCTTCCTTAGACGACTACCCATCCGTTCTAAATTATAAGTCGCTTTGACTTTTTTGGTACATTCATTTTGCTATGCATCTAGATAAATAATATGTCTAGATACATAGCAAAATGGATGAAAAAAAAATCAAAGTGACTTATAATTTGGAAGGAAGGAAATACAACATAATATCCAGGATTACCTGGCTAATACCTATGTATCGCATAGCTCGTTAGTGGAGATTCCATGGGTCCTACCTAGACTTTATGTAGTCACCTCAGACTATCTCATGTCTTGATGGCTAGCTATAGCACTGTACACCAAGTTCGGTCTGACCGCCTCCACTACTGAGGGAGGATACGTGGGTTTTGCGCTCATGTGATACCTATTGATGGAGGCCTAGGTTGTAAGGATTTGCTTTCGCATTTCTATTTCTATATATCAAAGCAGGAAGGTTTAGCTGCCAACCAGGCCATCCACGTCGCTCGAAATTCCGCCCGTCGTCCGATCTCACGTTCGAAGGCTCAGATCGGTCGAAGCGGATTCTGTTACTTTAGCTGCCTCTCGCAGCATCCACGTCACCCCAATTGTTCCAGGTCGTCAGATCCGCCATCGTGTGGCCCAGACTGCTTGTAGCCGCTTCCTTTAGAATCTGCTTCTTCTGCCTCCTCGTCGCTCTATATTGATTTTCCTAGCTTCTGTGGCTTCTCATATGAATCCGGTGGAGCAAATATATACTCCAGCTCCTGATTCCCCTTCAGCAAACTTCTCATCCCCTCCTCTCCCTCTCTCCTGTACGCTCCCTCCCTCGCTCCCGACGCGCGACGCGGCTCAGCTGACGGCGCGGGACGACCTTCGCGGTAGCCGGCCCTCCACGCGGCGGCGGCCTCCCTCCTCCTTAGTGGAGATTCCATGGGATGAAATACGACATAATATCCGGGATTACCTGGCTAATACCTATGTATCGCATAGCTCGTTAGTGGAGATTCCATGGGTCCTACCTGACTTTATGTAGTCACCTCAGACTATCTCATGTCTTGATGGCTAGCTATAGCACTGTACACCAAGTTCGGTCTGACCGCCTCCACTACTGAGGGAGGATACGTGGGTTTTGCACTCATGTGATACCTATTGACCGAGGCGGAATATCTAAAATTAATATTTTAAAAGTTACACTTTGAGAGTTTCACATGGACAAGAAGAGAGCCGTCCTTATATGTTACTGTTTTTGCAAAAGACCCCCGTTTTCTTAACAACCCGTCAGCCTTTGAAGTCAAGAACCATGGACGACGTCGACGGCGCGGTCACATGGGCGGCCAAGTGGAGTTACTACTTTACCAGCGGCGGCGCCCACCGAGCACTACAATACAACTGCCCTCAAACCTAGGCAGCTTCCGCGCACTGACGGACGCTGAGCTTGTCAAAGAGAGCCCGAGCCAGAGCGTCCACCAGTTGAGCGCGGCACCGCAGCCAGCCAGAGCACGCAGCACGCAGAGCGCCATGGCGTCCGGAGGCGAGCACCACGAGGAGGAGGAGGAATACTACGGCGACGCCGCCACCATAGGCGCTCTGCGGCCGCTGTACGCGGGGTACGCCTGGGCGGACGTGGCGTCGCTGGGCCCGGAGTCGTCGGGCCACGCCGTGCGCGTGCGCGGCGCGGCGCAGGAGGTGCGCGCCGTGGGGCGGCGCGTGGCGTTCCTCGTGCTGCGGCAGGGCGGGGCCACCGTGCAGTGCGTGGTTGCCGGCGGCGGCGCGGGCGGGGACGGCGGGATGGCGCGGTTCGCGGCCGGGCTGAGCCGGGAGTCGGTGGTGGACGTCGCCGGCGCCGTGTCGCTGCCGCGGGAGCCCGTCCGCGGCACCACCCAGCAGCTCGTGGAGATCAAGGTGGAGAAGCTCCACTGCGTCAGCAGGGCCGTCCCCGCCCTCCCCATCGGCGTCGACGACGCGGCGCGGAGCGAGGAGGACGTCGCCAGAGCCAAAGCTGTAAGCCGCTCTTGCTGCCGTTCATGCACATTCTGATTTCTGCCAGCTATATATGTGCGCGATGAAGATGAATGGTTTACTGGAAACATGCATGAATGGATTACTATGTTCATATAGGCAGGGGAGCAGGTGGTTCATGTTGGGCAGGACAAGCGGCTGGACTATCGGGTGATCGACCTGCGCACCGCCGCCAACCAGGCCATCTTCCGCATCCAATGCGAGGTCGAAAACGTAAGCTGATCTGCTCCGGAGACGAACTTGATCCAAGATGCATATATATGCCCAATTCAGCCAATTCTTGATATACTACGTATGTACTGTATGTAACTCTGCTCTGACAGACTGACACCGCTGCATGCCACAAATCGATGTACAGGTGTTCAGGCAGGTGCTGCTGTCGGAAGGGTTCGTGGGCATCCACACGCCGAAGCTGATCGGCGGTTCGAGCGAGGGCGGCGCCGCCGTGTTCAAGCTGGACTACAACGGGCAGCCGGCGTGCCTGGCGCAGTCGCCGCAGCTGCACAAGCAGATGGCCGTGTGCGGCGGCTTCGGCCGCGTCTTCGAGGTGGGCCCCGTGTTCAGGGCCGAGGACTCCAACACCCACCGCCACCTGTGCGAGTTCGTCGGCCTCGACGTCGAGATGGCGCTCAGGGACCACTACACCGAGGTCAGGGTCATTGCTGCCGGCCCTGCCCGGCCCGGCCGGCCGTCTCTGCTGCCTGTCTGTGGTAAAGCTGCTAGCTATTCACATGTACACTGACACGCTTCTTCTTCTCCTCCTCCTCTTGTTTGTGGAAAGCAGGTGTGCGACGTCGTGGACAAGTTGTTCGTGGCCATGTTCGACCACCTGAACGACAAGTGCGCCAAGGAGCTGGAGGCCATCCAGAGGCAGTACCCCTTCGAGCCGTTGAAGTACCTGAGGACGACGCTGCGCATGGACTACGACGAGGGCATCCGGATGCTGCAGGAAGCCGGGGTACACGTGGACCCCATGGGCGACCTCAACACGGAGGCCGAGAAGAAGCTGGGCGACCTCGTTCGGGACAGGTACGGCACGGAGTTCTACATGCTGTGCCGCTACCCGTCGGCGGTGAGGCCGTTCTACACCATGCCGTGCCCGGAGGACCCGCGCTACAGCTGCTCCTTCGACGTGTTCGTCCGGGGCGAGGAGATCATCTCCGGCGCGCAGAGGGTGCACGTCCCGGAGCTGCTCGCGGCGCAGGCGGCGGCGCGGGGCATCGACGTCGCCACCATCGCCACCTACCTCGACGCGTTCCGGTACGGCGCGCCGCCGCACGGCGGGTTCGGCGTCGGGCTGGAGCGCGTCGTCATGCTCTTCTGCGGCCTCGGTAACATCAGGAAGACGTCGCTGTTCCCGCGCGACCCCAGGAGGCTGGCGCCCTGACAGACACACCCATCTGATGCTGTTGTAATGAATAAGCAAACATGTATGTACTCGATCGCCGATTGGATTTCGCAAGTGCAACTCGACAGACTACATCAGTTTTCACACGAACAAAAAGAGTCTATCAAGCGACCTGAATCTGTCATTACAAACCTCCTTCAATATACATTATTGGAACTACTAGGAGCGCAACTCCTGATGTGGGGGCACAGGGCACTACTGCTTGCCAGCTCCCACGACGCGGCACCGGTACTCACCCAGAGCCCAAATTGGGAAGATGTTCCTGTACTGGGAGTAACTGATCATGCAGTTCTTGTTGAACACTCCTATGATCTCCTGTATGTGTTAGGCAGTGCAATTATAGTTAGTAAATAACAAAAGGGTGAGAAGTTGAACTTAGATTATATGAGTTATTGGAAGAGTGAACTAATGTTAGTATCTCTGATCTGTGGACCGGTTGTTAAATTACTTACTTGCTGAGGAAATTCTCCGTCGTCTGATTGCAAGTTGATCAAAACCTTCGCTGCTCGGTGTAGGGGTGTTGGATCTCTCTCAGCCTGCAGTATGTGACGAGATTTAAGTACCGTTCTGAATGCGCACACCGAATCAGAGTATCCAAAGCCACAGGCTAAGTAAGTAGCAGACCTGTCCTGCATCAATCAGTGCCAGCATGGCACAACCAGTGTTCACTGCATGAGCTCGGTTGCCTTTGAGATTGGTGTAAACCTGATTCAGTGTGTAAAAAGATGCATGGTTAATGCAAAGGTCTTTCCAGTTCCAAGAATCAAGACTGCACCCCTGTTTAGCTCACTAGCATGTTACCATTTCAACCATTTCAACTGCTACCACATATCGCAGCAAGCAGCATTGCCAGTATATCCATAATGCTGTTAAGTGCTGTTATTTTAAAGAAATTGACAGGAGTGAATTTTACCTGGTGTTGAGCTGATAAATAGCTTTCTCCCCAACCACCGGAAGGAAGAAGCTCTTTTGATAACAGAAAGCCGCATGCCTTTCTGATTGCAGGACTGTTCTCCAATGTTTTACCAGCAGCGATTAGTCCCTTCACACCAAACCAAGTGCCGTACGTGAAGCAAACAGCCCAAGAGCCATACCTGTTGGAAACTGATAAACATATATGTAGAGGATTAATTGGTATTTTTTGTTCGCATGGAGTCCAGATACTGACCATGAACCGTCGCTTCTCTGAACATCCTCGATGAAATTGGCAGCTTTGCTGATACAGTTGTCCACCTCTTTCCTGCGATGTCCAGGGTAGAGTTTCTTGAATGATGCCAGGGCCTGAATTGCTGCTGATGTACATTCAACATACCTGCAAAATGAGTTTTTATGTTGTCTCAGTTTGTTTTATAAGAATCAGCACAATGAAAAAGTTACTGCATCTTACGGGTAATCAATCATAATGTCCCCAAAGGTCTCAGTAGGATTGATAAGCTGAATAATTGAAGAAAGAATGTCAATATAGATGAAACGTGAAAGATTCAAGGAATGCTGATGAATTATATATACTGTTTTGAAACAAAGCTAATATCTTATCATTTATTTCTACTCAATGGCAACAATTAAGAATTCCACAAGTGGCCTGAGGGGTCGAAGAAGTTCATCCACCTACCTCCAGCCAGGCATAAGATCTTGTGAGTTCATATGTCGCGAAACCTCCAGCCAGGCATAAGATCTTGTGAGTTCATATGTCGCGAAACCACGAATTCCACAAGTGGCCTGAGGGGTCGAAGAAGTTCATCCACCTACCTCCAGCCAGGCATAAGATCTTGTGAGTTCATATGTCGCGAAACCACCATTATCATTCCGCAAAGGTTAACACAGAGAGAGAATTCATTATTTGACGTTGGGAAAATGAGTCGTTTATTTCTTGGTTCTGAAATTTTTTTCGTTCTCTATTTGACATTCACTTTAACTTTTATCCCTAATTTGACATTACCGTCAAATCCGTTAGCTAACGGTGTTAACTGGTTGTTAAAAAGACGTTTTTGCCCCTAGAAAAAAAAGCGGCGAAGCAAATTTGAGAGAAAAAAAAACCTGCGTCTTTTTTTGCAGCTGGGCGCATGCATCAGAGGCGGGCGTAGGTTTTTTTCCTCTCAAATTTGCTTTGCCGCTTTTTTTTCTAGGGCAAAAACGTCTTTTTAACAGCTAGTTAACACCGTTAGCTAACGAATTTAACGGTAGTGTCAAATTAGAGATGAAAGTTGATGTGAGTGTCAAATAGAGAACGAAGAAAATTTCAGGACAAAGAAAGGAACGACTCATTTTTCCAGTGTCAAATAAAGAATTCTCTCTAACACAAACCGATGAGACTTGGTCCCTCTAATGGATTTATTCAAAACACACAAGAACAATGGAGATAAAAAAAACTGCATAGAATTTAAATGAGATATATGACCATAGTATAATAAGAGGGCTACTGCCAGTTCAAGAGTCTTGTTTTCACAAGGTACACAATGTTTACAAATTTACACCGACCATTTTGTTAAAAAATGATTCAATTGCAACAATTGTGAGAAGATAAAGTGTTGGGCCATGTTTGTGTAATGGGCCTAGCCCAACCTAATGTATATGTATATAACAAGACAAGCAATACAGAGAACTCTAGAAGTTCTTCATTCTTCATAAAGAAAAAATTCAGGATACTTACCATATAAGACATCAGACAACTGACAGGAGACATCCCTAGCCCCCGCGTCGCCCCCACGCAGGCGACATGGGAGGCGATCCAAACCCTAGCCGCGTGGGGTTTGGCGGGGCCGCCTACTGCGGCTGCGGCGCTGGCCAGTGCCCGTGCAGGCGCCGGGCGGTGGCGGGGGCCCTTTCTTCCTCCTCCGCTTCCCCCTTTCCTCCTCGGCCTTGGCGTGGAGGTGGCGGCGCCAGCCGGGGTCACTGGGTCTGCCGTCCTGATGGCCAGATCCGGTGCCCCCAGGGCAGGGGGTGGCACCCGAGGTGGGGCATGCGCCTGTCGGTGGCTGGCGGAGGTCGGCAGCGTCGACGGCGGGTGCTTGTGCCGGCGACGATAAATGGCGGCGGCCGGCGTCGGCGGGCGGTGGGTGGCGCGTGCGTGGCGGGTAAGTCCACTCGCATGTTGCCCGGTCAGAGGGGGTGGCGGCCGACGCTGCTGTGAGCAGCCGGCGCGTCGATGCCCCTCTGGAGGGGCTTTTGCGGGATGGCGATGACGACGACGGTGGCGACAGGCTACGGTACGGCATCTTGGCTCGATGTTTGTGCTAGGGGCACCTCGGGCGAAAGCCTTGGCGACGGCAACGCCTGTGGGCGCCGTTTTCCTTGTTGGGGGCGTCATGTTCTTGTGCCCCCATCCATGTCTTCCACGGATGGAAACCCGGTCCATTCCTGGACAAGCGATGGCGGCGCTATCTGCGTCGTACCCTTCCTGAAGGCGTCGCTGTGGAAATTTTCTCGGCCATGATGTCTCCTTCGGCGGTTGTCCTCTGCCTCTTCGGCGCCCGGTTGACGCGAGATGGTGAGTTCTGCATCGGGAAGTCGGGGCTGCTGCATTAGGGGATGTAGCTCGGCAACGATGACGCGGGTCGAACCCTCCTTCTCCGACGGTTGGGTTTCAGCTTTAGCGGCTCGGCAATCGCCGCGGGCGAGGCGTGGGATCAAGGCAGGAAGTCGGAGCTGCTCTTCGCGGAGCCGTTGAGCTCGACAACGATGACCTGTTGCAACCTCCTACTTCGGGCCCGTTGGTCTGTCATCTTAGTATGGGTCGTCGGTGTTTTGCCATGGGAAGTCGGAGCTGCTGGCTGCTTTGCAGCCACGCTCGGCAACGATGACTCATGGTAGTGTGTACTCTACCGCGTTGCGTGGGTGGGCTAACCTTTCACGGTGTTTGGCACCATGCTTGGTTACCTTTGCTTGTATATAAACTTCATTCGTCTTCATTGAAAGGCAGAGCTCCTGCCATTGTTTAAAAAAAACAACTGACAGCATCATAAAACCTATTAGCTTCCACCGGTTCGCCAACAATCTCAGGAGAAATCTCTGATAACAATAATGAAGCCTGTAGTCAAAGAAAAGAAGCAATTAGGTTTTTGGAAAAAAAGAAAAGAAGCCTGTACTATAATACTGTCAAGAATACTGGCACATACATGCCAGGAACAAAACTAAACCTTATTAGCTATGTGAGCATAAATATTTGCAAATTTGTCACTCTCAGCATTGCCATATAGCTTGATTAATGTGGAAAGAGTTTATAGATGCTGTAAGAACAAAGGATCCTAAATCTCAAAAGAAAAAAATTAAACACCTAAAGTAAAATTCCTTATTGGTAATGCTGATGACCGAGTTCACCTTTAATCCTTCTGTAGTGCAATTAGATACAGTCCAACCATTATCAGCAGTTGAGAATGGCCATACACCTTTAGACGTGTGGCGGTACCAATCATTCAGATAACCAGGGCAGTCGTCAAGAACCTTTTGTAATGAACAGCCATTTATCAGTACTGTAAATGGACCTAAGGTTGATCCATATATATAGACAAAAAGGCATGTCAAATGTACCTGTGAATTCTTGATGTAGTTGTGTGCTAGTTTAAGGGTGAGACCAAAGTCTTCAATAAGGTTAGTAGCCAATGGCTTGAACTGCGAAAGCTGTATCCCAAAGTTGGCTACCATTATAACCCTACAGTGGAAAGGGCTGGTTGGATTGAAGATGCCAAAACAATTGCCAATCCCATTAAGACACAACAAAATATTATATGTTGACAGGTTTGTTGTTGCAGTGGCTGCCTAAAAGGAAGTTAATTAAGTAAAAAGGAAATGGGCCACTAAACAGCAATAATCACCTGCATCTTCATGCCATCTTCAGCTAGCCACAAGTAATCATAGACTCGTGGAATGTGGAGTTTGAATGCCTCTGACTTTGGATCTTCAATCCAGCAAGCAAGCATATTTAATACCTGCATAGAATTTCTTGTTGCAATCAGCTGAATAATATTAAGATATAATGAAGA